TCGGGGGATCGATCCAGCCCTTTGGATCCATCCATATGTAGAGAAAATAGTCCCAGAGGATTGATCCAGGCCATTGGATCGATCCAGACAGTCTGGTTTTGGTTACTGTTCATCTTCTTCTTCGTTCGGGTCCAATTTCGAAAATACCGTTTTTAGTTACCGAACTTCAACGAAACTATATAGAGATGTTCTCTAAGGTTCATAGATCATTTTGGCATCATTCATTCATAGTTTTAACATCAATTTCATGGTTTATGATTCTTGGTTCTTCAAGCATGTCAAACACAAAACTCAACCAAACGACTGTTTATGAACGTAGAAACGATCTATATGAATATTCTAGTCACTAGATATATCTACGGGCTTACCTCGAAGCTTATCGAAGGTTTTGAGAATTTTCCGGCGAAACATCCGGCGACGATTGTAGCTTGCTCCGGCGACTTCACACCAAATTGACAGCACAACTTCATTCTCCACACTCACAGCTTTCTCTCAGAGTTTATTTGAAGGAAAATGGTGAAGAAATGGTGAAGTTTGGAGGGGTTTAAATAGGAGGGAGTAATGGAATGAAGACATGGTTGATGACTCCCTCTGCTACTGTTGTGGTGTCTCAGTGGAGGGAGCGGCGATTTTCTTCGGGCTGCAAACGTAAGTCCCTGATTGGGACTAATTTGGTCGAGTCAGGGAACACTTTTTGGTCAAAGTTTCTCCGAATTGAAATTCGTTTGCACCGTTGCGATTGTACAATTAAACTCTATCCAACGATATAATTTTTATATTTATTCGTTCTACTTTTTCCGACATCATATTTTTAGGTGGTTGACTTTGACAGAGTCAAAATTGATTTTGTTGACCTTTATTCAGAAAGGTTTTTACATTTCATTCATATTATTTATTCTCATGATTTATTTCAATAAATCTTTTCAAAGTTTACATCACAAACAAATTCTTCATTTATCCTTGATTTGGGTTTGTACTCAGGTTCCCAAGTAAGGTCACACAATAAGTCAACATATTGGATTTATCTCTATGAGACTTATCCAGATTTTGATATTGAATATTAAAACATATTTCATTTCGGCCCAAAGCCCAATAACAATTATTATTATTATTATTATTAATCAAAATAGTTTGACTTCTTGAATAATTATTCATTAATAATTCTAGGATATATTTTGGGGCGTTACATTGTGAAAGGCATGAAAAAGACAGAAAGGACAAGAAAAGGTTTTGGGAAAGAGAAGAGATTGTGAAAGGGAGATAAAAAAGGGTTTTTAAAGATGAAGGGAAAAACAAAATTTAAAAAGAATTTCAAGGATAAATATGCAAAAACAATAAAAATTAGGGAAGAAAAAGTTTTGAAAACAGAAGGGGAAAGAAAACGCTTTAAAATTTTTTTTAGACAAGCCGGGGAAGACAGAGAGGCTTGCATTACAACTGCAAAAAAAAGAGATGGAGGAGAAGTGGGAAAAGGGGAAGAGGGAGGAGATGAAAGTAGGACAAGATAAAAAAAATTAAAAAGAAATTTGAAGAACAAAAAAGAGAGAAGGGGAAGGTGTTATTCCAGAGAAGATGTGTGGCGAGATGCAAAACTATGCGAGATTCCCACCATACACCTTCTCTACTGCCGAGATTCCCACCACAAACCTTGAATATCTTTTCTTCCCATCAGGCTTTCTCCATTGCCGTCTATGAGGGTGAGGAAGAAAAATTTCTCCATATAGGATATTTTTCTTGGTGTTTTTCTCAGACAGTGAGTTTGAAGACTTTTCATATTGTGAGAATTGTTTGTGATAGGAATGGATTAGATTGGCTCAGTTTAAATAAGAGGAGTAGATAGGAAGGGGAGGTTCACGGGTTCCATTAAGTGGGTGATTGGAACGGTGAGAGTAAATGCGTTTCAACTCCTAAGAAGTTGAATTTTGAAATGTTGAAAGAATCTTTTACCGGTTACCAATGAATTGAAACTGTTTCAAATGAAACCAGTTTCGTTTGGTTTGAAAAAGTAACTGTTTTGGTTTGGCTAAGCCCAAAAGAATGGCCCAAAAAAATTTATGCACTAAAGGGAAATTATTCCTATTGGGTTCTCAAGTCCCAAAATGAAATATATAATTTTTCATTCCCTAAAAATCTAATTTCTAATTAGGACGAGGTAGTACCAAAAAAATATAAACTTCATTTTTAAGAGAAAAGTGGTACTAATTTTCTAAAGTCATATACATTAAAAAAAATCCTAAGGACCTGTTCTTTAGAGCAAGAGTGGAAATGAACTAATGATTAAAACTCAATTTAAGAAGGCAGATTTTGTAGAATACCTGAATCGGAGGTCACCATCTCTAGGACAAAAATCTGAGGTATCCGTCTTCCATTTCTTAGAGTTCATCAGTAGTTCATTACCAAAAACAGATATTAGCCAAAAACAGTCAAGTTCCCCCTGGATTTACATTCCCCCTGAATGTATGCACGCATAATGTCAAAGCTTAATCTTAAAGAAAATATTCAAGCATAATTTTAAGAGATTTAACAAAAGAGTGTTTAAACAAAAGGAAATGTTTAAACAAGAAGGTGTTTTCTTCAAAACACAATTAGTGTATCTAGACTTCCCCCTGCTTTGATGAAAAGAACCTTCAACTTCTCTTGCGTCTGGAGGATTCGGCAGACTCACCAATGCCTTGCATCACTCCACATTCAGCCTTTCTGTGCTTCAGATTTTCATATCTCTCCTTTTGCTCAGCCTCATTTGTGAAGTGTGAGGCAATGGTTCCTAAGGCTTCTGTTCCGTCAAATTCATTGTTTGACAGATGTTGTGCTGACTTCTCCGGGTTGCTCTGCTAGGCTTCCAATATTAGTTCAGTCATGTTCAAATGTGTTGGAATGTACCCAAGCTCTCCTTGATTTGCTTGGATAGGAAGACTTGGAATTTCAGGTAAATTCTTGTATTGGACAATCACATCCAGCTTGTGTTTGGCAGTGAAGGTTCAAAAGTGCTTGAAAAGCTTGAATGCCTGCTTCTGATTCTCAGCAAGAACCTTCAGATAATCTTGAGTTACCACTTGGTTTGCTGATGATTCTGCCAAAGCTGACCTGATGTCCATTTGTAGAAGTGACATCTGTTTCTGAAGACTGATGGTGACAGTGGCAATCTTCTATTTGATCTCCATAGCTTCTTTGAGTTGAAGATGGCAATGAGAGGCATAGGTCATCATGGTATTGCTCAATGAGTTACTCAACAGAGAAATGATCTCAAGAGTCTTGTTAACAGTTTGGTTTATTTCTTTGAGATTTGAGCTATACTTCTCTTTAGTCTTCTCCAGAATCTGGTTATGTCTCACTTCTACCATATCTAACTCTTCCCTAAATGAGGCTTTTTGAGTGTAACGCCCCGAAATCTGGCCCAAAAGAATTAATTAAATTGTTAAAGCAATTGATTACGAATTGGGCCTAAAAAGGGGTTAAAATTATAATTTGGATTCTAAGCCCAACTTTTATGTCATCTCGTAGGAAATATCTTTGTGATCGCGTCAGTTCAGACGGCTCGCGAATCGGAGTTATGGAGCTCATGTTATGACCATTTAATCAGGTATTTTGGGTCTGAAGCCCAATCCTTTTAGGATTGGGATCATTAATTAAAACCTAAACTATTTCAGCCACACGATCCTTATCTCTTCCTTCTTCTTTCGTTCTTCTTCTTCTCCTTCCTCTTCTTCTTCTTCTTCTTCTTCTTCTTCTTCTTTCTTCTTCATCTTCAACAGCCGCAGCTTTTCCTTCGTCGATCGCCCGTCGCTCACCGTCGAGTCCAGCGCCGCCACGCCTCACCACTAGACGTCGCCTCCCCTACCGGCGTCCGCCATCATCGCCGTCGACTTGCAGCCGCCAGACGCCGTTCTTCGCCGGTCATCCTCCCTGCCGTTCGACCACGCCGGCGTCGCCTGAGCCAGACGCCGCTCAGCGCCAGTCGCCCTTCCCCAGCCAATCGCCGCCGCTGCTTCCTTCGCCAGAGGTCCACCGTCAGCATCAGCGCCGCCGACGACGGTTCACCTCGTCGTTCTGCCGGTCGTCGCTTCCACTACCAGCGTCGGTCTTCCTCGCCGTCGAATTGCAGCGCCGCTAGTCGCTGCTCATCGCCGTCGAGCTGCCGCTACGCCACTGTCGCCGGCGTCCGTCACCGTCGCCGCATCCAGCCGCTGCCCCGGATTGATATCGCCGGCAGATTAACCTCCACGCCGGATTGATTGGTCGATTTCGTATTTTGACTCAATTTGACCCGTTCGTTTGATTTCGTTGATTTGTCTTCCGTTCGAGCTATCGATTCGATTTCGGCGAAATCCAGGTCCGTACTATGACGTTAATAGCATTTAGAATAGATTTAATGGTTTGGATCGTTATATGTGTTTATGCTATAATTTGGCTAAATTGGTTAATTGAATTAAATTGATTATTTGAATTGAATTGTTGAGGATTGTGAATTGACTGAATAGGTATGACTTTGACTCGGGTTAGGTCACGTTTGACTTAGGCTTTGACTGGATATTCTGTCGACGTAGGTTTGACCGAATGGTTAAATCCAAGACTTTAATGAATTAGTTAAGTTAATTAATTAATTCTAATCGGTGATTAAGGTCAATTAGTTTATTATGTCGAACATAGAAACTGGCCATTGCTCGGGCGGCTGCAGGGCCTGGTCAGTGAGGTTAAGACGTGCGCACGAGGGTCTGTGATCTTGGGTTTGAGGCTATCGCCCGAGGGATCCTACCTCCACCGAATTGAGGCTATCTTCGGTATTACGGATTGAGGCTATCTCCGTCATAGGCATTAAATGTTAAATGGTTTGACTTTGGTGAAAGTCTAAATTGGTTTGACCGGTGGTCAAAGAGTTAATGAGAAACCCGTAACACCTAAATCGTTTTGAAAAGAAAGAAAATAAGTTGACTGTTGGTCAACCGTCTAAAGAACCGAATTTAAAGTTGAATTGATTTTTATCAAAAGGATAAACATATGCACGATCTCAATTGTTGAATTATTATGTTTATTCTTGTGCTACAATGGAGTNATCCCAGAGGGCATTGAGGAGGAGATGTACGATGGCGTGGCTGTCTCTTTAATCTGTTGATTATGCTTTATTTAATTAACTTTAATGCTTATTACGTTTTCGGGCAAGATCCCAAGTTGTTTGACTTTAAAAAGGCTTCCGCATTATTTTAAATTACTCCGATGGATTTTTATATGTATTGAAAGAACGTTTGTTTAAAATTGTTTTGAAAATGTTGTATATTCGGATACCAATCAAGTGGCACACCGGTCCGCTATCTCACGGGTTTGGGTTACGCGGGTTGGGGTGTTACATTTTGGTATCGGAGCATTTGGTTTTAAAATCGGTCTTTGGACCCTTTCAAAAGAAAATACAATGAATAATTCAGCCGCATCTGCATCTCACGTAACTCCTCTGCCCCGGGAAGGTAATAAGTATTTATAGCTTTATCTGTTATATGTTAAGATCTAACTTGGGAATTTCCTTTTTATTAGAGAATGAGTCAAGAATTGACCCACGGTCAGTACGTTCCGGAGCCGGAGCACGTGAGCGTGCACACGGTGAACACCGAGGGTTCGAGTTTCACGCCTCCGGGTGATGGAGGGCAACAACAGAATCAACCTGAGCCAGCGGGACAGCCACCAGCTGTACCACCGCCAGTCGTACCACCTCTAGTGATGCCACCGTTGGCGATACCGCAGGTGGCCTACGAGCAGATGTTCCCGGCCATGATGGCCCATTATATGCAGCACATGGCGCAGCTTATGCCCATGTTCCAGCCACCGCCACCACCACAGCCGCAGCCGCGCATCGTTACCTTCAAGACGGTGAAGGATAATGGAGCGGAAGAGTTTCGAGGAGACAAGATGGGGGAGCCCCAGATCGCATTGGATTGGCTTGAGCAGATGGACCGGGTACTCAAGAATTTGAGAGTCCCAGATACCGATCGCTCGGAGTTGGCGTCACAGATTTTCCGGAAGGGAGCATATGATTGGTGGAAGCGCATTGACCAAGATCCACACACGCCCAAGCCATGGACCTGGGATCGCTTTGATCGAGCCTTCACGAAGGAGTACGTCCCCACCCGGTACCGCGAGGAGAGGCGCGATGAGTTCGTTGCGCTTAAGCATGAGGGGATGTCACTGCTTGAACTGAGACAGAAGTTCGACTACCTGTCCCAGTATGCGACGAGTCTGGTCTCCACTCCGGAGGATCGTTTGAATGAGTTCGTCAAGAAGCTACGGCCGGACTTGAGGTCGTACGCCGCGCTGATCACGACGACAGATTTTAAAGCGGCGTATGATTTGATTGTGAAGACGGAAAAGAGCTTGGACGATCTGCAGGCAGCCAAGAAGGAGGATCGAGCGACGAAAGACCCGCGACCCGCGGCCAGCACCGGGCCGAGCGGGAAGAGTTTTGGATTCGGGGGAAAGAGGTACGAGAAGGGTTCTTCGAGTGCGCCGCCGCCTAAGAGGAGTAAGTCGAGGCCGTCTCCGTCGGCCGCCGCTAGCAACTCGATCAGAACGAGGAGCCACCCGCAGTGTGTACAGTGTGGTAGGCATCACCCGGGCGAGTGTTGGCTCGCCCAAGGCTTATGTTTGGGTTGTGGTCAGCCAGGGCATTTCAGGAGGCATTGCCCGACAAACCCTAGCAGCGAGCCTGTTTT